GTCGATCATTACCCTCCGGGCTATTCGCTTCAGTATATGGTGGCGTTAAGCTCTTGCTGAATATGCGGTTTTTAGTGGCCTTACGGAAATGTGATAGGCGTTCTATTCAGGGCTGATTAGCGCATAAAATTTGGTAGTGCACGGCTGCGTTCCCCGTGCTTAAATGTACGCTTTACCCTACACATCAATCACGCGTTGACCGATGTGAAGTGTTTAAAATATGACATTACTGCACTAGTTCGAAGCATGTACAGGTAAATTAGATTATTCATTTGAATTCTGTAAGGACAGTAGATTTGTTTAGCGTTGTGTCCAAAGTTCAGTGCTTCAGCGCCTTAATCTAGCGTTAACGTATACCTGCATACCTCCGTTGATAAAAACTCGGCAAATATCTCGTGTACAGCTATGATTCCTGTACAAAGCTAAAGGCGATAGGGTCAGAACTGCCCGAATGCTTCTCGACACAGGCTCACAACGTTCGTATTTCCCGGGCGCAATTCATAGGTAGTACAAATTCCCAGATGATCGGAACAGATATCCTTGCACTGGTAACCCTTTCCTTGACAAAGGATTGAAAGAGTTACCCGAAATTGGATTTCGAATTGCTTTTTCGACAGGGAAGCAACAGTTACCAATTTGACTAGACGATCCATTCGATACGTTGTTAGCCGTGCAGTCCCTGTACCGTGCAATTAAGTAATCTAGAGCAATAGTTAACGACTCCCGACCATTCCTTGGCTGAAACTAAGGAAGCACGCACCCTCGTCGAAATTGTGGGTATATGTGACGGCTGGATCGCAAATGATAGTGCAGTAGATTTTACCCAGGTTCTTCAACTCGATGACAAGTATGAATAACTTTCGTAATAATCTTTCTCTTAACAATGATGAGAGAGAAACATGGCTATTAATAAAAGCAGGACTGAATTGAGATGAGTTCTGCCATCAACGCTTGCTAATGATTGACTGCCTGGAGACAGGTAAGGCGAACCAACGTTAAATTGCCATATACACGTTACGGGATGATCCCGTAAGTTACGGTCGGGACCACATCAGGTTCCCGACATCCTGCCGGCCACCAAATTATATGCAATAGACATTTAACAACTACCTTGGTAAATTACCTATGCAAAGTAAATCGTAAAGGCAAACTTCCCTAGACTAAGAAACACTGAAGATTTGCCTTAAATTGAATCGAGCCCCGAATTACGGCAAGAACCTCTTCGGCTGCTAGACGGCGTGGTCTTGAGAGGTAAAGAGGTGTCGGACAAATTTACAGCCGGTCTCGCAGCCGGTCTCACGGCCAACATCCAAATTCAATGACCAAGGAATATATCCCAAACTAATGAGTGTAGTTCGATGAGACTTGGTAACGTATTCTTTAGGACCTAACGATGATGTTAAGCTCGAGAAAAAATTTTCCGTATCGCCTTCATTCGGGAGTTATAGAGCAATTTGGGCCAGAATTTGCATTGACCAACAAATTCCTTCTAAACTACTGAACAGATTTGAACGAAACTTTGAATATACACAGCTAACCTCCCAACGCTGACGTTTAGCTTATGACAATTTCTTTTATTTGCCTTCGTTTGCGAGTTATACGGCTATACGTATACGGCCCTTTGTCAATGCAAATTTAAAAATCGGCCTCAGACACGCCGGTCGTTTTTCCATATATCCGTATAACTCGCGAACATAGGCAAAATCGAAAAAATTGTCACGAGCTAAACATCACCGTTGGAAGGTTAGCTTTGTACATTCAAAGTTTCGTTCAAATCTGTTCAATTGTTTAAAAGAAATTTCTTGATTACTGCAAATATCGGCCGGAATTACCGTATAATTCAAGAATGAAGGTGAAATGGAAAAAAATTCACGAGCTAAACATCACCGTTAGGTCTTATGAATACGTGTACCAAGTAAAAGCCAAAATATAATATCATTGGGTGGAGTGTATTTAATTCATTAATTTTCTAGTGTATTTTGCACCTTACAATGAAAACAAACGACAAGAACGTATGGAAATGATAGCACAATCAAGTGTGTCTTAAATGCGGATTGTAAATGAACATGTCTGAATGAATTGTAAAAAAGAATAGTTATTATTCCGGCATATATGAATGATGAAAATAATTTCTCATTTAGAAGCATTATAATGACTACTTTGTTCATCTGATAAGCATACACTTGTTTACGCTGTGTTGCAAACGCTCGCCAAAAACATATGCAAGGGATCCAGGTTTTATGCAAAGAAACCTTCACTATGTTCTTGATCAAATTTCGAGCCTATGAGTACCGATTGAAGAAAAGTGTGCCCTGGCACGTTGCCTGTGAAATTATTATTTGTTTATAAAATATATTATTAGAAAGGTAAAGGAATATCTGGTAAGAAATAATATCTCTACTGGCGTACTTTCTCTGAGAAGTGTCGATTAGGTAACCCACTTCAGTACGACTTACTCGTATCTACTGTTTCTAGCATTGCAGGACAGAAAATGTATTGCATTGAACAATAATCGATGCTCATCCTCCTTCCATCATTCCCCAACAAATGTTCCTCCTCAAGCTGGCAAACAAGCTGCATGGACTTGTTGGCACTTAGCTACACAGTCGGGGTCTTGTGCTAGGCTTGGTTTGCTGGCAACACATGCATTGTCGAGCAGCCAGTGCACAATGCCCATACTTTCGTGTCATGTAGATTTAGTCTACTTATAAGTACAACTTAGGTAGTTCGATTCGATCATGTTGTGAGGCTTTCACTTTGGAACTAAGTGAGTCGGTATTGGACATTTATATCTGAAAATCAATTATATTGTGAGGAAGGAAACGCAAATCAGAATTCATCTACCTAGTGTAATGTTCTATCGCTGAAATTAGGTTGTGAAAATAGTAATTTGACAGTCTTCTTCGTTTTCTCATTACTCCTACTGATTAAGTAAATAGTCTTTCACATGTTTTTTGAAGTTATATTGTATTCATGATAACAAATTTGAACACAAGTGTAATGCGCGACTTCTTTTCCATTTGGGTGTAAGGCGCAGTTGATCGTCTTCAGGGTAATAGGTGGCTTATTCTTTCTTTAGAGTTTGATGGGCAGTTGATAATGTAAGGCTGAGGCCAGACTAAAAGCGTTGACGACGACGCGGGCTGAAGCTGCAAGCGGAGCGGCGGCACGGTGCGTATATGATTTTAATTAAGATGAGTTTGGGACTTAAGTGTCTCCGGTCACGCTGATGCGCCGCCTTCGACGTCCTCCGTCTCCGAGTCGTCGCTAGGCAGGTCACCTCGCCGTCGGGTCCCGGATGTAGCATTGGACGTGTTCCGTATATTTGCCCTACTTTGGGCCAGCTGATGCAAAATGCCGTTGCTTGGCACTTGCTGAGGGTAGTTTCCCATTACTGGACTATCCGGGATCTTTCTCAATCAATTGTCCAGTCGCCTCTTGAATATTGCAAGGGTGAACTCCCCTCCTCTCAGCGCTTTTGGCAAGGAATTAAAGAGCCTTGGTCCCACCATGGACAGTGATCCCTCACGAAGAGTCTGTACTCTGGCCGCGGCTCGGTTATTAAATGGGGGAACCCTGCACAGTCTCCCCCCCCCTTTCGTTGTAACGTGTCACTATTCTGGAGGTCTCACTCTCGAAGTTGGGAGCCCTGGTTATCATCTTCCAAGTTTACAGTATGATATACCTTTCTCTTCTCTCTAGTGAGTACAGTCCCTGGTGTTTCAGCCTTTCCCAGTAGTTCAGGTTCAGCTCCCTCATGCCGCTGATCCTGTAGGTGAAGTATAATGGTCACAGTAAACGCTAAACCGCTCAGCCCTCGGCGAGTCAGTGTTGTGTAAAATGCTGACCTTGAATAATTATAAGAATTAGCGTGACCTTGGCTTAAAATGCCTAGCCAAGGCATTTCTATTTGATAAACGGCGCTGTGCGCGAGGCAGAAGACGCTTATTGTAGCATTTGCCACAATAAAAGACAGGCATGACGATGCCATCCTAGTGTATTGTTAAGAAGCCAAAGGAGACACCAGCCGGTGGAAAGTATGTAGCTTATCTCTCATTTTTTAAATTGATTAATGACTTCTTATCTCTCATTGAAGCGCATAACGTTCATGGTTGCGCTGTTTTTCGTTTACTGTTGCCACTATACGCACAGCGCGGCGCCGCTCTGCTTGCAGCATCAGCCCGCGTCGGCGTCAACGCATTTAGTCTGGCCGTAGCCTGAGTGTGGTGTCTTATATTTTTACGCCAGTCTTTCTGTCTTATACTATAGGAAGAATAAGAAGACAATGCAATCTGAATAAGCCAATGTCGAACCTGTTAGGCCGATAGTTCAATATCCCAACGAACTTGCTCCGTACTTGCTGAGTCAGCCCAAGCTGACCGCTGTGTAAGTTTAAGTAAGTCTTAAACCATTGTATTCATTCTCTTCATTAAATTGTATAATAGCAAAGTCAAATGTTATTGTTCGTTCATGTTTATTGTATCTTAGTAAATAGTCTTATTTGGTACTATTATCTGAGAGGCCGTTATTTGTGTTTCAGTTTCTGAGAGGCCATTATTTGTGTTTCAACAGTAAAAGTCCATCTGTCTATCTCCTAGAGTGCAAACGAGTTACGAGTTTGTCGGCCCGAAATTACGTATAAATCTTAAAACTTGGTAAAATTACTTAGTAAGTCATCAGAAAATTTGTCTATCAATAATGCTTCTCGGCATCCTTTTAGCGTGAGCTAGAGAATGAAAATTGCATGACCAGCAGAAGGCCTTTGATAATAATTAGATAGTTGCTGCCCACTAATTATTTACTTTCGCTGCTTGTTAATTACATTCTCGCTCTGCTTCCATTGAATGAAAAATGTACTGTGGTCTGGTATGAAGTCTACAATTTTTTATCAGGAGTTTCCATTATAAAGCTAAATAATAGAATGGAGAGTTTCATCTGTGCTGCAGAGTTAATTATAGTCAATTTCATCGCACATGTGGTAAGTGAATAAAATACTAATCCTGCGCGTATCATTTTAATTATTACAAAATAAATAAAATTTTAATACTTATTAAGCTTTGAACGGTTGGCACGATGTGTTTTGCACAAGAGCATTCAAAAGTGTTGCACAAATATTATTTTGAGGGGAAAAAGCATTGACTTTCAAAAGCCCTGGCGTCTATGGACGAGAGTAGGCTGTGGAAGGAGGCAGAGGTTGTGACTGGCGATGCAAGGGTGCAGAATAATCGTTACGAATAGCTCCTCCAAATCCACCACCAGCAGCTCCACCAAATTCACCACCGACAGCTCCGCCAACTCTACCTCCAGCACCTCCCACAACTCCACCGAATTCACCACCTGCGCCTCCCACAACTCCACCAAATCCACCTCCTGCGCCTCCAACAGCACCACCGAATCCACCACCTGCGCCTTCGACAGCTCCACCGAATACACCACCTACGCCTCCGACAGCTTCAACGAATCCACCTTCTGCGCCTCCGACGGCTCCACCGAATCCATCTCCTGTGCCTGCGACAGTTCCATCGAATCCGCCGCTGATCTGAAGTTGGCCATCCCCAGAACCGTGGCCATCGCCAAGGTTTCCTGGGTTCAGCTCCTGGTTAGAAGCACCGTCGATAACTTCACCCTGCTGAGCAGACTGAGCAAGTGCCTCACGCAGATCGATTCCTCCTGGCAATTTCGGATTGTCTCCTTGGTCGTAATTTACAAAATAAACTTCTGGCTGGGTAGGATTGGCAGGAAGTTCGATGACCTCTTGTTCCAGAGCCCCAGATTTTTCATTGAGCACGTACACTAAAGTCTTCTGCTGGGGCGGTGGCAGTACAACGGGCTGAGCGCCTTGGACCTGTTGCTGGGTTCTGACGAAAACAAAGTTGTAATCAACCTTAGGCTGGGGCAAGGATTTCGGGGCCAAAGTCTCGATCCTCTGTGCTGGAGGAGCAGCGTACACAAATATCCTCCTGTTGATGATCGGGCGAACGCAAGAACCGTCAACATGCCGAACTTCATCCTCGCCACAGCTCTGGCCCAGTTCCACTGGAGCTTGATGGTTCCCTTGGTTGCCGTTAGATAGGAAGCCTCCGTTCAGAGAACCTCCTGAAGATAAGACCTGGTCGTCGTTCCTCTGCAAGTCTTGAAGATTGGGCAGCTGCTGCTGCTGCGGCTGTTGCAGGTTTTCGCTCCTCAAGTCGAAGCCGGAGGAAAAACCGATGCCGAGACCGCCACCCGTGCCAAGTCCCGAGTTACTCGAGGCGACCCCAGCCGAGGGGTTGAAAGGCCGGGAAGGAGCACCGGTATTGTAGCCCTGAGGCTTGGCCGTAGCCACAACCACAAAAGATGCTAGGATCTGCAACCAGTTAGAAATTGAGGCTGAGTCATTAGGTCTATTTTTCGGCAGATTGTTGAACCCCTTTTTTATCTGTATAAAATACGCCGATTTCACAACGAGAAATAAGGAGACCGAGAGAGAGAAGCTCAAACGATACCTGCGTTGAAATTTAGTCCGTGTATCACACAACTAATTTTAAAATAAATTCTAATGTTGGACCATGTTGACTGTTATCAAACTTGTATGTTTAGCTTAAGCATAAGATACAAGAAACATCAATCATATGAATCAAGCGATCAAGTTCATCATGTATTAATGTTCGTGCATAATGTTTTACTCCTCAATAACATTTTGAAACGTTCTAAATCTCAATGAAATGATTTCTCATATTTCAGATCATTTAGAAATTTTTTCCCTCTTCACTTACAGAATATTTTGACTCTTGGCTCTTGATTTCATTCAATTCACCAGTGACCTATGTATATAAATTTACATAAAAACCAAGCGCTATCGCCCTGATGGCCTGTGCTACTCACCAGAAACTTCATGCTAGCTTAAGGGAGTCTCGGGAATGAGTGAGGGTAGTCTTCGCTGTGTCGTCTTATATAGGCTGCAAGAAGCTCATGAATGATCGTACCATTGCCATGACACTGAACTTCTTCCGCTCGTTTTAGGTCATCCTTGCGCTCCTCTTTATTTGCGCGACAAAAATTTCATTTTTAACGATAAATTCAATTTTTCTGTGGTAAAAGTTTATTCGGGTGACACATCCGATTTTCGTGCCGCAGATGTTCAAGAGAAAATTTTTTTGGTGCGGCAAATTTATTTGCGAAGTGAAATTAATTTGATGCGCGGAAGGCCACAGCCAAGGAAACTTGATGTGTGCGTTGGCTAAAGAATACAGCGATGACTCGAGAAACATTTAATAGAAATATGAACTCTTATACGACAGCTGCAGTGCTATTGAACTTGACACTTCAATGTCTGTTTTCTCCTTGTTTGTAGTACGGTCATCACATGATCTGATTCTTTTCATGAATGACTTCCTGACCTGAGTTTTTTGGTGATTTCAATTTCTTTCCATTTACTCATGCCGACTGCAGATTTTCATGGTGTGGGAAACTTGATTTCACATTTAAGATTATGGGATCCTGTCCAACAAAATTAGAAATGCCATTAAATACAAATCCACGTGAATGGGTGTCTTTGGATGCGGATATTTTAGATCATTAAATTAAATATTCGTTGATGTTATTGATGGTCCCATTGAGCTGCTGACGAGAAGATGACGTGGCATTTTCGTATGGAACCTCAATTTGCTCACCTACACACGATCTCCATCATCAGCCTGCAGCGATCGTTCAGATCAGCAATCAGAACAGATGGATGGCTTTTATTAATCAATATTATTTTACGAACTGGAAACGTTGAATGCATAATTTAATATTTCAGGTATGACCATTATTTTCAAAAAAAGTTTCGTTATTTACTACTGTAACGATCGTTGCATAATATTTCGTTATTTCGTGGCATGTGTACTTAATTTTATTTTTTCCTCAGCATAATAATGGCAGGTTTACCCTTCCGGCTGGCCTTTTCTTTCCATTTTCAGCTTTATTAAAAAGTCTGGAGCATTCAAATATTTAGTGTAAAGATAATTTACGAACGATTTTATGTAATTTTTTTAACATTGCATCGAATTACTAGCTATATTTTAAGGGGGCGTCTGGGGAAAAAAAGGTCCATTCATTGACGGATCTTCGTGAAACTTCGTACACATATGTGATAGAGCGAAAGAGTAAAATTTTGCTCTTGCTAAAAATTAAAAAAACATGAAATGAAAAGAAAACGGCAGAAAAGGTGTCCCTTATATATCTATCTCTTCCTTCAATTCACGTGCTACATCATCAAGAGAAGTATTAATGTCACTTAATTGCTTAAATCGCAAGTTGACTAAAAATTTAAAAGCAAATAATAGTCCACAAAAATTCATATCTTTATAGAAAACGTTTCGGAGTCCAGCTCCATCGTCAGTTCGTAGAATCTAGAACATACATAGAAAGTCACAAGTTAATACAATTGAAAGCACAGAACACAATTAGAACCTAAATATTAATACAACTGAAAGCACAGAACACAATTAGAATCTAAATTTACAAGTAATAGGGCATAAAAACCTATCTATTCACAATTTCAAGGGGATAGGAGCTCACAGCTGAATTTAAACTGGGCCTAAGCTTAAAAATGTACAATGATTCTAAGATACGCAAATCTGAAGTACCGGAGGTAGAAGCTAACACCCGAAAGTCACTGTACGGTAGTAGCTTCTACCTCCGGTACTTCAGATTTGCGTATCTTAGAATCATTGTACATTTTTAAGCTTAGGCCCAGTTTAAATTCAGCTGTGAGCTCCTATCCCCTTGAAATTGTGAATAGATAGGTTTTTATGCCCTATTACTTGTAAATTTAGATTCTAATTGTGTTATGTGCTTTCAATTGTATTAACTTGTGACTTTCTATGTATGTTCTAGATTCTACGAACTGACGATGGAGCTGGACTCCGAAACGTTTTCTATAAAGATATGAATTTTTGTGGACTATTCTTTGCTTTTAAATTTTTAATCATCAAGAGACATATCATTCGATTTGAAAGAAAAAAATATCTATCGACTCTTAAGCCCTCTTTTCGATTTATTATTTTATTTTTTTTTTATAAGATTTATTTGAAGTTTTCACCCCCTCCCCCATAGTTTTTTTAATATATAATCCAAACCATGCACAAATCAGGAAAAAGGCTTCAAGAGTCGCAAGATATACGTTTTAAGCGAAATTAAGGTTTTCTTTTCTTCTAGGTTACAATCTTTACTGTGTAGATTTGTTCTTCATGGTGACTTTTTTACATTATTGAAGCTTACAACTGATGAGGGAACTTGTCTCCGATTGGTTTTTAACGAGTTCCTTTCAATTTTTTCGGGTTGCTAATACTCGGTTGATTCGCAATTTAAATTGAGAAAATAATGCTATAATACCAATTGATATATTATTGGTATTTACGATTCTGATAGTCGCCTTTATAGTGCGTAAATAGTTCGTATATAATACGAATAACGTGAGCATAGTAAGCTTATCTCTTAGCAAGGCAAAGCACCTGCATATAAAATGCTTTCGAAATCGCCATGTTTTGAATATTAATAATTATGCCAGGCGGAAAATTTTATATTGATATTTTTTATTCATTAATTTAACCCATGACCTACTTCTTCATACTGGTTTGCACAAGACGCCGCATGTGGCCATGTCTATGCTCCCTTATGTAATGTGTATACCTACACGCAGGAGCCATGCCATGCCATGTGGTCATGTTTATGCTCTCATGTGTATGCATTCATGACCACATGGCAATCATGTATATGCATGCATGACCACATGGCACTCATGTGTATGCATTCATGACCACATGGCAATCATGTATATGCATGCATGACCACATGGCAATCATGTGTATGCATTCATGACCACATGGCAATCATGTATATGCATGCATGACCACATGGCAATCATGTCTATGCATGCATAACCACATGGCAATCTTGTCACGTGTATGCATGCATGACCACATGGCAATCATGTATATGCATGCATGACCACATGACAATCATGTGTATGCATTCAGGAATATAGGAAAATATTTGTTCCGCTTTTACGTTGATGATTTAAATCTCGAGTATCTGATCTGCTCGTTTATTTGCAGTTCTTATCGTACATTTTCCTGCAGATTTAGGTTATAAAGCACGCGTGAGAGAAGTTTCTTAGTTGTATTAAGTTGCTTGTAAGACTTGCACAGCTTTAACGGACAACTGCGTTGATCGATGAAATATGTTACAGTTTGAAATGTTCGTTTAATTTTTATTGTTGATGATATTTTATTGCCCTGTCGACATTCTTCTTTGCACAGGACATCTCTAGGATATATGCTTTTTAGCTCTCACCATAACTGTCAAAAAATACTTGAAATAATTTTCCAATTAAGTCAAAAATGTTCCATCCACAAATTGTAAATTATGAATAATTATTGCAGCTAATATTTTCCACTCACAACATAATTTTTCCGAACTCTTATATGAATATTTAACACAATTACGAGACATGTCACTGAAGCTTAATTGACGCCAGCGCGACGCTTCCCCGTGAAAATTTGCAGACGCGGCAGCTTCTGATTTGGAGTACCAGAAGCTGGGGCGACTCTAAATTTTGTTAGGGTTGAAGGCGACAGTAGCGCCCGCGGCAGCTGCCCGCGCAGTTTCACTGGTCAGGCATGGGGCTCAGCGCTCAACCGCAGCGCGCGTTACGAGTGACCGCGATAGGAAAAGTTTTTCTCTAGGTCACATGAAGAGTTATGTTACGTTTACGTGCCTTAAACTACTTACCCGTAATGCTTAGGCTATCAGGGTACTTTGGTAATAAGGCACCACGATATTTTGCTTAGTACTTGGGTGAGTGCTTGAAAAGTTTTACTGTAATGAAAATGTTTTGCGTTGCACATGCGTGTTTTCAAAGGTACAAATTTATTACCAAATATTTTTAATGCCCCAATATTTCGTGGCTGTTTCATTTACATGCCTGTTACATTTCCATACCTGTTACATTTCATGAATGTCACATTTCATGCTTCCGTTTTAGTGGGTACAGTTATTATTCAATACCATGCATTTCATTCAACACTATTATTTCTGAATACATGAGTTTGTTTGTACGAGTGGTTTGCGGTCAGGATGCTACGTGCGACTAACCTCGTGACGTCATCAGCGTCTAAGTGCTGCACTAATTGCACTTCAATTCACTGGCGGCACTTCTGCCTTTTTTCACGTGTTATTTGGAACGCGCATAAACTCGTGTAATTGCACCGATTTTTATTTATATCATATAGAATATAATTTTCTTGCACAAAAGAAACGTGCAGTGATGTTCGATGGTAAATTCTACTTAGATGCTGTAATCTACGTAAAAAACTATGATTGCCCGCAAGGAAAAAAAATGTACGGCCACCAGCTAAGGATTCAGTACAGTTTTTCCTCGAAAGTTTGTCTAGAGTCTATTGAATGTTTTCCAGGTCACGCGTCAGCGCATACATAGAATACTTGCACATACGAGTATTGTGAAGTTTTTAACATTGCGTTTCTTAACTTCATCGTTGAGTAACTTGTGTCTTAAATATATAAACAGAAAAACGTGAGGATTCAGTAGGTAACTCCAAGGATCTAATCCCTTTATGTCCCATGTTTTTCTTCCTCCAAAGGTTGAAAAAATGCAAATAAACTGAAACACCTTATTAGTATCTATTAATATTAAAATAATATAATATAACTATAAAATTTTTCGGTAAACACATTTCGCACCTGAAATTCATATCATACGACTTCAGACGCAATTTTATTTCATGAATACACCTATTATTTAGCGAAAAATATTTTTGGCTGTTGCTGGAACTACCTCGACTTGCGCTTTCACCCCTCGAGCCTTCATCGCGTAGAAACACTTAACAAACTGAGTGACCTTATAACATCTAAAG